GTTCTTGTTTGGTATAGTCTGTTATGTTTTGCGAATTATCTGATTATTCAAAATTATTAAATGTTTTATTGTTTCTATAAAACTTCGATTCAATTGGTGTTTCATATTCACTTTCAATCTGAAGCATGTTTAGGGTAAGCGTATGTTCTGTTTCGCTCTCATCATCTGTGGATTCACAATTTACGTGATTTAGTTGTAATTCTGAATTTTCTGTGTTATAAATACCGGAAGGATCCGATTCAGTTTCTTCAGTTGATTTTACCTGGTTGATGCCTCTTTGATGTTTAGATGTACTTCATCTATACTTTTGTTGTGAATTTTGATATTGTGTCTCCTATGTGGTGACTGTGAATAATTTTTTTCTCGAATTGAAAAATTCAAGTTTCGTTTCTTGGAATTGTCATGTGACCTATTGTGATAATTATTTTAGTTTGATCTGTTGTTTGAATAGTTTCGTGATCTATTATCTGAGTTTTGTCTAATCCTTTTGTTTGATTAATTCCTCTTTCGGGTATACGAGCAATTTCTGGAACGGTCGTTTGAAAAGTATCTTTTTCGAGAATTCGAACATCAACAATTTCTGTTATAATTTGAGTAGTTACTTTTGTTTGAGTTTGATCTTCAATAATTATTTCGATATTGATTGGTTTGACTGTTTGATCGACTATAGCTATTTTGTGAGAGATTTCGTGAATTCTTCGATCTAGAGATCTTCCGCGGTAGTTATTTCGGTAAGGTGATTGTTGTCTAGATGTAATATAGTTATCTGGAAGTGGTTTTCCTGAACCATTATTACTAAGATTGTTTTTGTTTGGTAAACCCTAGTCTTTTTTCATGTACTGATAAAAATATTTTTTTGGTTCTCTATATTTCTGTAGTTTGTTCTGATTATCTTGTTGCTTTTGTCTTCATTCAGCAATGCTATGTCTAAATCTACGGCAACAGTAAAACCATTTTTTCAATGATGGTTTGCCCTTGAAATTTATGTTTTCTCGTATATATTTAATATTTGAATAATTTTTTCAGCTAGTTCAGAGTCGGAGTCATGAATGTTACTTATTTGTGAAGTAGTTGAATGGAGGTTGTTTACGTAAGGTTATTTTTAATTTTTAGTTTCATAGTGATTTCAGCTTGATCTAGTTTGTCTACAAGTTTTCGGATCAGAATCTCGAATTGACGATGCATGCGATGCTCTCTTTTTTGTCCCTATTTTTCGTTATGGTTATATTAGAGCCATCATCAACATTTCTGTCATTTTTGTGCTTTTAAAATCATGCGTTTTAAGACACTACGCTTTTCTTACTAATGTTTCTGTTCTTACTGTTGTTTAATTGTTTTTTAGGGAGTCTACGAATTTCGTTGCATAGAACTCTTTGATGTTGCTCATTTCCCTCGGAGTAGAATAAGCAACATTCTGATTTAAAACTCCAGTCTGAATTACTCTGATTTAATACTTATAGTCTGATTATTCCAGTCTGATTTAATACTTAAAGGGAAAACTGAAAACCGCTTATGGGCTGCGCCATCATAAGCAGTTTGGATTAGAGATGTCCGTCTATGTATCCACTTTTGATGAAGTAGCGTTTTAACTGGTTCAGGTCCTATATTTAAAATTAAATTAGCTGTGACTGCGTTTAAATAATCTTCTACTCAGTACTCAGGATCTGTTCTTGCTAAAACCAATAACGGTTTATTAGAAGTTTTAGATGATCCACCCATAAGTATGGATTCATTGTCATTTGTAGTGGTTCTGCGGCATTTAGTATTTGACAAAAAAACTTTAGGTTGTGTTTTTGTAATTTGTTGTAAGTAATGTTTTTATTTTGCTGGAAGAAAGAATAATTTTCGCTACAATCCACTGTAGCTTGTGGTTTATAGTTGAAAAATACTGAGTGAGAGGCTTGTTGTGGTACATTTTGATTATAGTTTTGTGCTTGTGAAATATTTTGACTGCTCATTTAGGGGGGTTTTTTAATTTTGGATTTTGCAGAATATTGTAGTTATGATTTGAAATTTTGTTTCTATTAGACGTTTTTTGTTTATTTGTTTGTCGTGATGTCGTTACTGGCTTAAATGTTTGATAAGCCATTTATGATTATTTTGGAGTGATAAAAGGTTTTGCTGTGGATTGTATAGCTGTTTTTATGGAAAAGCTGTATTTTTGTTTTTTGGAGTTGTAGTTGTAGGATGAATTGTTGTGTTGTTGTTAGCGTTGTTTCGACTATTACTTCATTAGTGAAACGTGATGGAGTTTGAAAATCTTGTTGTGTGTGATTTCTTGTTCCATTCAAACTTTCTTGTGCCTTAAAGAATGTGGAGTTTAAGCTCTTCTGTCAGCGAAAATTGCATTGTAATTGAAAAGTGTTGCATCGATAGTAAGTGGAGTTATTCTAACAGTCGTTTTTGATAAAAAAAAATAGAGGAGATTGCTTGACTTGTCGAAATATACAATTGGGGAATCTTTTATTTTGAAACACTTTTATTCGCGAGTAGAATGTGTAGTTATATCCTTAAATGTAGCAGAGATCACTATAGGTCATAGTTCAAAGATTCAACGGAATGAATAGTGTTCTATTACTGTTCAGAACCAAAATTGAGTTTCAAACGTCCAAATCAATTATCAATTCAAGTTTCGACTGAATCGCTTCGACACAAACCGAAACCTTTTTCTCTGTTGTTCATAATAAAAAGCTATTTGTCGACCCTTTCTGTAGAATATCCGAAGCAACGTTTCTAACTAGTTTTGATAGATAGAAAAATTGAGACTGAAATCTAAATTTTGGCCGCCATTTTTGATCAAAAGTAAGTAAAGACTAATATCTTCAATTGCCCGTGGTACCTAGTTACCTATATCTACTCTACATGAGCGTGTCGATATGGGGGGTGGTGTGTGGGGTCATAGGTGTTCGACCAAACCCCTCCCCCCTCAAATCTGGTTGCCAATTTTTTCCAAGTTTCCCCCGGGTTGAGCTCACATTGATTAATACTAATTAAAAAATGAACAAAACAGCGAACGCCATCGCTGAATTACCGATGTTTTTAACAGAATAGCAATTTTTTTGATAACTTAATGTTAATTCGGCTTATGTTTAAAACCGCAATCAGAAAACCTATCAAAATGAGACAAAAATAGTGACCTAAAGCGTGAGACGTAAAGATAATCTTTCTGATCGAAAAGTTTCACGAGTGTTCAATTCTAACTTTTCATTGGTATTTTACAAATCTCAAGGATTTTCAGAATCAATTTTGACTTATTTCATGATTTATCAAAGCGCGTGAAAGTTGCTTCAGCGACATGATCCCGGGCCGCGAGTTGGTTTCAAGTCGATGTATTTTTCGAATTGAAGGAAAAAAACACGTGCGAGTGCACTAGCCGGGCAATCAAAGGTTGCGTACGCCGTCCTTACGGTCACGACTCGAGCAGTCCCATCAGGATGTCCTACTGTGACTCATGCCAAATACCATATTGCTCGCGGCATCATTTTTGTCAAGATCCAGACTACAACCCTCTTTTTAGCGATTGTTTCCGCGAAGTTCGTTTTTTTCCGGGTCGGTAAATATTCCTTTTGTAGTCTTCGCGAGAGGTAGTTGAGTAATTGTTGTTGTTGAGAACAAACTTCAAAACGGAGTAGTAATCGTTCGTCTTAGGTTGCTGAAAAGACGTTGAATTGAAAAATGATTGGGTGAGTGTTTCCTCATTGTCTGTGATATCGGCAACGTTTGTTAGAGGTCTTGGGTTTAACATTGATTTTGTTTCCGTGAGAATGGTATTTAGTAGGTCCAGCGTGAGCTTTTTAGAGACAAGAATAATTCAGATCGTGAGTTTTGCGATCGTGATTTATCGCTACCAGGCCCCACAAAAATGAGGTTTAAAAAGTGCGTTAAAATTCCCTTCAAATTCTTTGACTGCTCGATTTGTTTCACTTTTGTTCTTATTTAGTTCTTTGAGGTATTTCTTGAGCTCATTACTAGCTCCTACAAAAGTCTTCCCATTGTCTTTGTACATTGTTTTAGGGTTACCTCTTCTAGCTGTAAAGCGGATAAATGCATTAAGAAATGTATCAGTTTTCAAATCTGGGCAAGACTCTAAATGAGCTTCTCTAGTTTTTTTTTCAGTTTCGAATGGAGAATGGTCCAAAGAAATCTATTCTTGTACTGATGAAAGGGTAGTGAGTATTTTTGCTGTGGAAATCCTGAACTTGGTAGGGGTGCCATTTTTGGCTGTAGGTTTTGTGAATCAATCGTCTGCATATAAAACATTTAAAACGTACATTGTGCAGAGCCAGTCGTACACCAATATCTTTATCAAAAATATAATTGATTTATAAATACTAGTACAGAACTGGTTCCACCTTTGTCTTTACTTAACTAATTGAGGGAAAATTTTCAAAAAAAGTCTGAAAAAAGCTCAAAAGTTTTAATTTTTCTTTAAAATGAACCAAAAATCTTTCAAAGATTAGAATGGCAATGGGATCATTATTGGCTTTGCGCTGATCCGAGCAGAATTGTTCGTTTCAATTAACATACCGTTACAACTTACAATTATTTATAAACTTTTTTAATAAATTTTGCAAACTTGAAGTATGTCAGGCTATTTTTACGTCAACCAACTTTGGGGTTCTCAACAAATATTAAGTTTGTTTGATCGCGGAGCTCATAGTGATTTTGGTTTATGGGATGGAGATGTTTCAGATAAATCCTATATTCTGATTTTGTTTTCGCCAAATATACATACACGCCCTTTCACAACACATCGGCTTTTTTTATTATCGCTGGATGATATCACTAAACTACTTTATGCAAAAATTTCAATGATCACAGGACAGTTAAAATGAACTGAAAAGCAAGTAAAACTATGACAAACAAACTGGGTCGTAAAAGCATCAAGCTCTGGGTATGCGAACTTGTCATATATAGGTCTTCTCCTAGACTTCAAAACGAATACGCCACATTTAGAGAATGATTGACTCCTCGGAGCTAAAATCGAAATGTGGACTAACCCGATTTTTTGGCAAGCTTCAGTCATATCTGTTGAATTTGGTTGAAGTGGCGCTGCACTCAATTGCTGTCTTTCCGTTACTTGACGAGCAGAAATCACTCCTTTTGAAAGAATTGTTCGACATGCATCCAAATAACTTTATAGGCTAACTGTTTTTCTATGTAGTCATATGGGCTATTTATATCAAAAGCTATTGTCGAATTATTCAATTGGGGAATCTTTTATTTTGAAACACTTTTATTCGCGAGTAGAATGTGTAGTTATATCCTTAAATGTAGCAGAGATCACTATAGGTCATAGTTCAAAGATTCAACGGAATGAATAGTGTTCTATTACTGTTCAGAACCACAATTGACTTTCAAACGTCCAAGTTATTTATCATTTCAAATTTGGACTGAATCGCTTCGACACAAACCGAAATCTTTTTCTCTGTTGTTCATAATCAAAAGCTAATTGTCGACCCTTTCTGTAGAATATCCGAAGCAACTTTTCTTTCTAACTAGTTTTGATAGATAGAGAAATTGAGACTCAAATCTAAATTTTGGCCGCCAATTTTGATCAAAAGTAAGGAAAGACTAATATCTTCAATTGCCCGTGGTACCTAGTTACGTATATCTACTGTACATGAGCGTGTCGATATGGGGGGGTGTGGCGTGGGGTCATAGGTGTTCGACCAAACCCCTCCCCCCTCAAATCTGGTTGCCAATTTTTTCCAAGGGTTTCCCGGGTTGAGCTCACATTGAATAATACTAATTAAAAAATGAACAAAACAGCGAACGCCATCGCTGAATTATTGATGTTTTTCAACAAAATAGCAGTTTTTATTGAAAATTTATTGCTAATTCGACTTATCAGTATATTCGGCCAAATTTACATTCACGCCCTTTCACAACACATCCGCTTTTTCAAAATAGCAAACAGCAATCAGAAAACCTATCAGAATGAGAGACAAAGAATGACCTAAAGCGTGAGACGTAAGGATAATTTTTCTTATCGAAAAGTTTCACGAGTGTTCAATTCCAGTGATTTTCAGAATCAATTTTGACTTATTTCATGACTTATCAAAACCCGGGAAAGTTGCTTCGGGGACATGCTCCCGGGCCGCGTATTGGTTTCAAGTCAATATATTTTTCGAATCGAAAGAAAAAAACGCGTGCGAATGCACTAGCCGGGCGGTCAAAGGTTGCGTACGCCGTCCTTACGGTCACGACTCGAGCAGTCCCATCTCATCCAGGATGTTCTACTGTGACTCATCCCAAAGACCATATTGCTCGCGGCATCAGATTTGTCAAGATCCAGACTACATCCCCCTTTTAGCTATTGTTTCCGCGAAGTTCCGTTTTTTCCGCTTCAACAGGGTCGGTAAATATTCCTTTTGTAGTCTTCGCGAGAGGTGGTTGAGTAATTGTTGTTGTTGAGACCAAATTTCAAAACGGAGTGGTAGTCGTTCGTCTTAGGTTGCTGAAAAGACGTTGAATTGAAAAAGGATTGGGTGAGTGTTTCCTCATTGTCTGTGATATCGCCAACGTTTGTTAGAGGTCTTGGGTTTAACATTGATTTTGTTTCCGTGAGAATGGTATTTACTAGGTTCGGCGTACGCTTTTTAGAGACAAGAATAATTCAGATCGTGAGTTTAACGATCGTGGTTTATCGCTCCCTGGCCCCACAAAAATGAGGTTTATAAAATGCGTTAAAATTCCATTCAAATTCTTTGACTGCTCGATTGGTTTCACTTTTGTTCTTATTTAGTTCTTTGAGGTATTTCTTGAGCTCATTACTAGCTCCTACAAAAGTCTTCCCATTGTCTTTGTACATTGTTTTAGGGTTACCTCTTCTAACTGTAAAGCGGATAAATGCATTAAGAAATGTATCAGTTTTCAAATCTGGGCAAGACTCTAAATGAGCTGCTCTAGTTTTTTTTGGGGTTTCGAATGAAGAATGGTCCAAAGAGAACTATTTTTCTACTGATAAAAGGGTAATGATTATTTTGCTGTAGAAATCTTGAATTTGGTAGGGGTGCCATTTTTGGCTGGATGTTTTGTGAATCCAACTGTTTGCATATAGAATATTTAAAACGTACAATGCGCAGCGCCAGTCGTACACCAATATCTTAGTAGCGTTGTTATATGAAAGATTTGACAATTTCTGATATTTTTATACACAAACTTGGTGTACGTGTTCAATTTACAACTTTTTTAGTGCAATTTTGGCGTCCTTTATTATCGAACATCTTGCATCCACTTTCAAACAAGGTGCAAACTCAAGACGACTTTGGCTTCTTAGGACAGTATTTTGGTCAAAAAAGGATTCGGTTGAATCAATTAGCATTTTTTATCAATTCTGTTTGTGTTTTCTAGTTTTAATACTATTAGGAAACGACTGAGCCTCACAAATTTTAATTGCGTAAATTTTTCACTATCCGCTGTTATGCATAAAGATCGTGCATTTTCATCATTGGAGGATTGGTTTTGATTGATTTTTTTCTCTTGAGAAGTTTTATTTTTGAAATGAAACTCATGACTGTACTAAGAGTTAAAAGCAGCCTGTTCCAAGTGGAAAATCTTTCAATGTCAAAAATTGACCCACTCAGAGAACGCGCCAAACCACAGTTGTTACAAGCGAAGATTTATCCTGTCATTGATGCTTAGGTTATTTCAAGAATGCTGGAGGTGTCCCCCATTTCTCATTAATTTCCTTATGTTCGAGATCTCGAGTACTATGATCTGCAGGACTCAGAGTAGCTGGAATCTGAGGCCTTTTTAATGATGATCTATCGTTGAGATTTCAGTGAGTCGATTTGCCACAGCTGCTTTGTTAAGTTTGTCCATTCGAGTACCACATGAGTGTCTGTCCAGACTTGTAAGACACCTGTTCGATTGAGATAAATTTTTTTGGACACGAAAAACAAGAAAGTTGCTCCACTTGTTGCAACTTCTTGTTCAAGTTTTGGTACAATCAGTTCTTTAATCGGTGCAACCTTGCTTTTGCAAATCAAAAACTTGCTTTCCTTGAACGTCTCGTCTGGTTCATGCATTCGCAAGAACAGGACTGCTGGCGTTTTGACGCGTAGAGCGTCTGCAAATGAGCGTACTTTCAAGTTCCAGGAGTTATCGCTTGGATTATTGCTTGTTCCAGGAGTTATCTGAGAGAAGAAACGAGGAACTTCTGTAGCTTGCGATGATGTTCACTAGTTATCTTATTATCCCATGTTAAACCTAGCTTCCGAATCTGATGGAATAGGATCTTCAGACGAATTATTACTATTTCAAAAAATCATGGCGGGTCGAAAATAGACAACAAGTTGAAGATGTTTCGTTGAGTATAATTATCAGCCAGAGAAGGAAACTTTTGAAGAGTGTCAAGAAACAACTCGTCACTGTCAATTTTTCAATTTTGTCCAACAACACGAGTTGAAGTTTTTATCTCGTCGTGATCTTCGCAAAGATTTTTTTGCAGGGCGAGCATGTTATTTGATAAGAAGTTGGTGAGTCGTAAACCACCTTGTTTTAAAGACTACCTGGTTTCTCTTGAAAAAGGTTGTGCTTCATCTAACGTCGTTACTGAGGCAATGTAGTCATCCATATAAAACCTGCTTTGAATTTGATCATAAGCTAGAGGAAACAAGTAATTGTTGTCCAAAGCGCATTTTTATAATGCAAAATTAGCGGAGAATGATAAAATGAAGCGCCAAGTATTAACCGCGTGATTTCGTAATGATTGACACTTCCGTTATAGCTCCAGAGAACACCCAAAGCTGGTCTATCTTTTTCTTGAATACCCACTCTTATAAACACAACTTCAATAGTGGCAAGAAGACCAATAAAATGTTTGCTGAAGCGCTGCAGAATCCCTGTTAGATTTGCTAAAAAGATTAGTACATGTGAGAAGGCTGTTGTTCAGTAATTGATGTTTAAAAAGGGATGCAGCGTTGGCTACTCTTCTAACTTTTGTTGGTTTATTTGGGTTTTGCACTGGGTGATGTGGTAAAAACCATTTTGAGAGGGTTTTATTCGTTTTCTTTCAACTGGTCGCACGTGTTTTCTTTTCGAGGTCAATTAGTAGGGTCATTTTGTATAAATTGAGTAGATCAATGTCTATAGCAAGTCGGCGATCGAGTGGTTTTAGTTGAATACGCGTTATTCTGCAATTGACTCTCCTTTATCTTATTATCCCTAGGTTATCCCTAGATTTTTTTGCAGTGCGAGTCAATTTCGTTTCTTTCTCCCGTGTGTCTTGTTTTTTCATGGATTCGAACTGTCGCTAAACTTTTATCAGGAATGGATTGAACTTCATGCTAAAGGACTTGAACAACTACAAGGGAAACACTTTTTTGGGGAAGTCAGCGGTCGAAGATCAGGAACTTATGACACAAAATCGAACGTCTTTTGGCACAAAACGAAACCTTCAAATGAGGTCTGACATCATTAAGACAAAAAACTGCAGTAAATTTTCATAAAATCCATAAATTGTTCGCAGGATCTTTTTTTGGCTCATTGCCCCGGTACTAGAAATTGGCACCAGTTGACTTTTTAATTTGGTAAAAAAGCAAGAACTTTGCACATATTGCTGAATCTTTCGTCATCAAGAAACATCTGCACTTCAGAGAGACGACGTCAGCAATGTAGAGGGTTCCGTCATATTTCTCTTCATGATCCATCTCGAATTACAAACAAAAACAGTGCATCATATAAATAATGCGTTATTATGTTCTCTTATACGTTCCTCTTTCAACTATTCGAAAGAATTGCGATTACTTGAATGCGGAACGTATAAGAGAACATATTAACGCATTGTTCATATGATGCACTGTTTTTGTTTGTAATTCGAGATTGATCACGTAGAGAAATATGACGGAACCCTCTACATTGCTGACATCGTTTCACTGAAGTGCAGATGTTTCTTAATAACAAAAAATTCAGCAATATATGCAAAGTTCATGCTTTTCTATCAAATTAAAAATTTCAACTGGTGCCAAATTCTAGTACCGGGGCAATGAGCCAAAAAAAGATCCTGCAAACAACTTATGCAATTTCTGAAAGCTTACTGTAGTTTTTGTCACAATGATGTCAGACCTCATTTTAAAGTTTCGTTTTGTGCCAAAAGACGTTCGATTTTGTGTCATAAATCCCTGATCTTCGACCGCTGACTTCCCCAGAAAAGAGTGTTCCCCTTGTAATTGTTCAGGTTCTTTAGCTTGTATTTTAAGCCACTCCAGAAACATTTCTACCTTGATGTTTTGAACGGTTGTACGGACAGCGTGTTTTGAGTAAACTGTCGGGAGTTTTAGTTTTGAATAATTTG